TACCTGTACTAGCACTTTTGTTATGGCGCGTGCTAGGTTTTTGTTTCGACCCCTCCTTGGAAACGGCGCTGGCTTGGGGTTTCGTACTTGCAGTCGGAAAGGTAGATTGTCTTTCATTTCTTCTGCCCTTGCTTTTCCCAGTGCTTGTACCACCTTGCGATGAACTCTCCACTTTTCCTGAACTTATGTTCAAAGACCCGGGTCAATTGGAATCAGCGGATTATTCTTAACACTTCGCTTGTTGTCGTACGGCATTCGCCCCGGTCCCCGTCGTATCCCACAGCTTGGAACGGCAATCGCCAGACGACGAAATTCACCCTCTCTCAAGCCCTTCGCTCCCTGGTCCTCAGTAGCAGGGGAAGCACTTGTATGCCTTGGTGGGCTTTCTTGAAACGCTCTTAAAGGACTTTCTCTTGCTCTGAAACGCAAGCATATCTCACAGTCCATCTTAAGAAGACCATATTCATCCTCTTGAATCATGAACGTGTGACCCTTTGGGCATCGACACCATCTGTCACGGGCAAAGGTCATCTCACGCCGTGGATGAAATTCCGGGCTGATATCTAGCAGTTTACTCCTTGTAGCTTGGTAGTATTCATTGAGTACCGGTCGTATCTTTTCTAAGCATTCATTGCGGAGGGAGATCTTTCTCCCGAGTGCTTTGATAGAATCTTCAAAAATCTGTATACCTCGGCCACCCTTAATCTTTACAACCCGGATCAGTAGGAGTACTGTGTACATGGTCCTGCACATTTCTCTATGTAGGTCATGAGCCTCTTGGTACGAAAAGCTGGCAGCATCCCTAAGAAGAGAATTACCCAGCTCTGCTATCTGTTCTTGCGTCTCATCAATGTGTTCTTTCCATACAGAATGTCGGGCATTGCGACTTGACTTATCCCGACGTGACTCACCGGGCAATTGGGTATCCTTGGTTCCCTCGCTTAGTGTTGTTTGTAGTTCCATCAACGTACGTATTAGTTGCAGTCGATACGTGATAGCTGGTTCATGTTCCATTCTAATCTCCTGGTGTATACGTAGCCATCTCCCTATTGCCTGTTCCCCGATCCCTAGGGGTCTCAGATTTATTCGGGTAAGAGTGCTCGTCATCCTCTGTTTTATAACACACTTTCCTGCCACTACCTGCATTTTCCTCGCTTCCAGTTTCCTCTTAACATGCAGCACATGTCTTTTCGCCAGCTTCATGACGTTTCCATAGCGTCTACTGTGACGTAATGGCGTGTTGCATTTCGGGCATTTCTTCAACTGTGTGGAAATTAAGAGAGATTGATTGGTCTAGGTAAAAACATTGCAATACATCACAATATTCTGGTAATGAGATAATTATTTACCCTCGCTCTCCAGTACAAGCCGATTTCCAAACAAATTTGAATTCAAATTAAGAGTACTGAGTTAATGTTTGTATTTCTCTCTCAGATTCACTCTTCTTTCCTTATATTCAAAGTCCTTAGGAAAACTGTATACCATAATGTGATATGCACTACCATACATTAATTGAATAAATGATAATAATAGGTGTTATTATTATTTTTTATATTATCATTATCATCATCATACTTATTTTTATTGTTGTCATAATCATTATTATTATTGCACACAAATTTAAATGAAATTGACTTCAATTACCTTTCAAGAAAATTAACTATTCTGATCGCTTTATGGCTAGATGCATGTCATTACAAACATAGTGAATCTAATGTTTCAGATATGTAAGTTTATTTTTTTACCGAAATCAGTGTGTTGGTGGTTTCCGGCTGGTTGAGTCCCATGTGCCTATCAAGACCAGTTACCTCGAAGACGTGCCCGCATTCCTCTAATTGTATGTATCTAAATGACAACAAAATGACAAAAGCTTTAATACCATGATTTCAAAATGAATGTAATCGTATAATATCATCATATATGTCAGAAGACAGTGTTTTATTTTCATTGTAATAACTACTGTCTTTTCGTCAAAGCGGACCTCTTCAAGTCGATTCTTGAATACGTTTTTGAAACGATTTTTTTTTTAAAGCCCGAGAAGAAACAGTAACATGATTAAAACAAACCAGAAAGAAGCAGTTAGTTTAAAAGCATTGAGAGAACTAGTTTACTTTTTAAAGTAATAGTCACAGAGAAATAGAATATGTTCAATTACCTCGATTCCTCTGTATCCTGTGATCCAGAAGAGGTTTCTTTCAGCTTCACTTTGTCGCAGATACGGCACAGTTCTGGGCAGATCTCTCCACATAGACCGGAACAGGGGTGGCCGCACTTCAGCAGCCTCTTCAAACATGGTTCATCACAAGTGGGTCTGGAGCATGTTTCGCAGCAAAGCGTTCTGCACTTGTGATGTGGACACCTCCAGTTGCATTGTTTCGTACAAGGAGGGCAAGCTTCTCCGCATGGGTGATTGCATTTCATGTGGTCGCAGAAGTTTTCACAGCTCTTAGAACAAGGAAGACAGGGACTGACACAACTAAGGGTGCATTTATGACCACAGACCAGAGTACGATCGCATTTTTCTCGGCATGGCACGTGGTATCGCCCTCCAACATTTTCCACATGTCCCCTTGCATATGTGTCCACATTCAAGTTCCGTCTGACATCTGACCTTGCAAGAATCCGGCTTATCGCTACACCTCGCTGTAACTTTGTGGCCACATGGCCAATCGATTCGGGCTACGAGCACATTACACTCTGTAACGCAGGTGTCTCCACATATCCTGGAGCATCTGTGGCCGCAAGCGAGGTCCTTCTCACATTGTTCTTTGCAGAATACCTTATGCACATCTTTACAGCATTCCACATTCTTCTGATGACCACACGGCAGACTCTTGCAGACAATGTCGGAACAATCACTTTCTGCTGAGCATTCCTCTGTCACGACGTGACCACATGACGGACGTGTCTTTTTCACAACTTTAAGGCAACGGAATTTGTCTGGCTCAACGTTGCATTGAAGTCTTTCTGTATGAGAACATGGTAGAATCTTCAGAACTATTTCGGTACAGACAATGTCAGGCTGTTCCGTCAGGGAGCACTTCATCATCTGAATGTGCCCACATGGTAAGTCCTTGCTCACAATGACTGAGCACGTCCCATGCTCACTGCACTTCTCAAATTTGGTGTGACCACACTGAAGGTGTCTTTGAACTACAGTACGACAGTCAAACCAGAAGACATCCAGATGACACGGTAGGGTGTGTAGGTGTTTACAAGGAAGCTTTTTCTTTGCAACCATCATATTGCATTTGACTGATGTTGGGTCCTAGAACACTTCATCATACAAACGTGTCCACAAGGCAGTTTCTTTTCCATCGTTATGCGACATGGTGGACATTTGTTTCCACAGATATCAGAACATGCATGATCTCTTTCACATTTCTTGGTGCAGGGGTAAGGGCACGTGTAATTTTGATGCAGCTGATCCGCCGGGTGGCACAATTTGCTACATACATGCCCGCAGTCGAGTAAGGTGTCACAAGGAATTCCACATCCTCCATTAGGCACTTTCCGAAAGTCAGCTGCTCTTGCCACTTCTGTCTTGTTGTGTGGATGGTTGTAGCATTGCAACATCAACGTGTCTCCTACACGACAATTTGCTTTCAAGTCGCCATAGATTCCTTTCCACAGAGCGCATTTGTCAGAGTAGAGGGTGAAATTTCCCATGCAATACAGCCCTTGCTTTGCTCTGGACAGCGACACGCACACTCTGTTTGCGATGTTCAGGAAACCTATCTTGCCATTCTCACTGCTTCGTACAAAGGAAAGAAGAATGATGTCATTCTCTTCCCCTTGGTAGTTGTCGACCGAAGCCACCGTGACTCCTTCAAATGTTGCTTTGTCCATTTTCTCTTTGAACTTCATTAGTTGTCCAGTGTAAGCAGTAAGTATGGTAATCTGCTTGGGCTCGTAACCCTGGTTCAGAAGGTACTTACACAATGCCACCGTGAAGTCAACTTCATGGAGGTTGTAATGACTCATTGTCTCGCCTACATGTCCCTCTCCGTTAGTGTGATCGAGGAAGAAGACGTTTTTCTCCACTCCTTTTACGTCTATGTACGTATACACTGATTCGTTGTCTTCCAGCTCTGGGTAGAAGTGTTCTCTCATCAATGATGATATTTCAGGCCTCATACGATGCTGCTGCTTGAGTTTCTTGAAGGGGAATCCATTCTTTACCAGTCGTTCAAACATGGACACATCGAGGTGAAATCTCGTTGCTAGTTGGTAAACATGTGGCTTTGGGCGGAGTTGCTGATGATCACCAATCAGGATTAGCTGCTGACAGGAAGAATGTAGCGATGTGATAATGTGTGACTCTAGCACTTCTGCGGCTTCCTCAACAATGATGATCTTTGGTTTAACTCTTTGTAGCACTTCGCGCTCACTAGCGGCCCTTGTAGTGGTCATACCAACTATTGTAGCTTGTTGCAATACCAAGCATTTCTCGTGGTCATTCGTTTCTCGCAGCTCGGCACATAATTGAGTGTACTCATTCTGGAGTACTGGGATCTCTGCTTCGAGTAGCGCCATATACTCGCTTAACCAGTAATGGTACAAGCCCCAACGTTGGTGAATATCAAGCCGCCAAACGTCCCTAACGTTTGAAACTTGATTCTCGTGCATTTTCTTTTGCATGGAAAACTTTTCCCTAAGAAAGCTCTTCTGTCTCCTGTTCATGTGAACCGATGACATGAGATCGTTGAAATAAACTGCTAGCGGAAACTGGTTCTTAACAACCTCCACTTCAGGAATTTCATCATCTTCTAGATCATCATCGATCACTCGCTGTGCCTCGATCAATTTTCGTTCATTCTCCACTTCGATACTTTCTACCGTTGTTTCAACTTCCTGAGTGTCGTTTCCTTTACTTTCCTCGTTTTTGTTGTCACATGTGATCGCTTCATTGTGATTTTGAGCAAAGTCCTTCACAATCTCATCATCAGGAACAAGCCATTCTATCATCCATGAATCGACATGCCCCAGTCTCTCTATCCTCACATACTGTTGAAGTGTTCGTCAGACATAATATGAAAGCGCTTGTATTCCGTCTCTCTCAGAATACCCTGGGAACTCAACTGGATTCTGGTTTGGAAGCCCTCAAGAGCCTCCTTTGCAAAGGTAGTTTCTTGTCTGACATTCCCAGCACGGCGTTTGATGTACTTATTGCTCATATCCTTCTTGAAACGTTGCTTTCGAATGACTTGCTTTAGATTGTGCTGTTCCAGTTCTATGCATTTGCTTCGGCTTCCAACTCTAATGATGCCTGTATCCTGAAATTTCATGATACCGAGTAGAAATTGATCCAAAGCATGGTTTGTGTAGCATACCAATAGGATAGGACCTGTTTCTTCATCTGACCAGCAATGCATGTTCTTGAGAAGTGTTTCCACAATTTTCAATCCGATATACGTTTTTCCCGTCCCAGGAGGTCCTTGAATCAGGGACAGTTCCTGTGTGAGTGCTGCTTTTACTGCTTCTAGCTGAGATGGATTCAGATTTGTTTCTTCAGCTGCAGGCCAGGCATCACCATTCAGAACTGATATGGGAAAGGGGGTGTCAATTTCGTGTTTTTTCGGACTACGTTTGTGCTGGGATTGGACTCGAGATGCAGCCTTCTGAAGTTTAGTCATAGAGATGTCACGAGCGTTGTTCCTCTGGTTTCGGTCAACCATTAGGTTTGACACGTCAAGTTTGGGATGGCTCAGTTGCATTAGGTAGGTTGGGGGTTTAATGTCGGGCTTAAGGTCAAGAATATGCTCTGCCATTGGAAAGGTTGCAGGGCTTACCCGTTGTAGGCCGACCAAGACATGTCGATATGCCTCGAAGAAAACTGTTGATTCCACCATGACAAATGTTTTGTCAACAATAGATGACATTCCTGTATCTATAGGGCGTAGGTCAACCAATCCACGTGCAAGTTGCTTTGCTTCGCTGTTTGCTACAGTGGCTGGAATGTAGGTCTTGAATTCATCTTCCGACAATAGGACTAGTGAGCCATAAATCAAACGCTTCGACATTTCCCATCTGACATGATGTAGCCTCTTGAATGACATCAAATAGGAAACACCGGAATGTCCGTTTTGGGTTCGACCAGTTCCACGTTCTCATAGACCCGAATATCATTGACCTTAACCCTATTCTCTGGACGAGCTTGCTTGTTGTGAAGGTATTCCCCCAAACCACTTCTTAGAGGCTGGATGAAATCCTCTTTCATGAGCCTGAAGTGCACGTCAAAGTAATGATCCGCGTTCGGGTAAGCTCCATTAACTATATGAGGCCTCAAGTATGGTCGATAAGTTGGTGTGAGCTCTTGATAAGTTGGAAGAATACTTTGCTGTCGGAAGTCATCTGGCGGTGGTTTAGATGAAGCATTCCGATGCTTCTGGCGCGTGAACTCTTTCTCCGCTCAACAGACTCAATATACTGCACTAGAGCAACGAGAGAGGGCTTGACGTCCTGTGTCAATTCTTCATCCATTGCGTTCACGACGTCTGTCATGAGAACCAAGGGTACCTTGATTTCTGCAGCCCGGCTGGGTATGCAGGAGATCATCGATTCAAATACTGTGACGAGTACAGCGATAAAACCTAGACACTCGCGTGTACCTCCTTGGTGTGCCCTCTCCCTCAGATGGATCAGACGAAGTGGTAGGTGTGTGTTAAGGAGTCTAGAGTCAACGGCCACCGTAAGTAGCATAATGACAGTACTGGCTACACCAACATTGTCAAAAATATGGGCAAGAACATCCCAAAATAAGCGCTGTTTATTGGCATCCATGTTCTCATCTTCAAGTCCTGCCATAAAACTTCCCTTCAATGAACCAAGTTGAATTGCTGCCTCTGAAGGCTCCATCCGAAGGAGCTGGTTTAAGAACTGTAAGCTGATAGGTCGAAACATGCGCTTGTCCTTTGATCCTGGGGGAAATACTCTAATAGATGGGTTAAAAATTGGAGGGAAATAATAGAAAAGAAAATAAATAATGTAAGTGGAGAACCTATGCAGTATTTTGCTGGAAACAAGTCACAAAAGCTTTGTCTACGTCTAAAAGTTAGTTGAACACAAATACTTGTAGACAAAGACAATTTGGTAAAAAAAGTACAATACATAAATTTAAAAAACAAGAACAAAATAAAGACTAATAATGGTAACAAGTAATAAGACTTTTGATCAAGATACACAATCTAGCAAAAAAATACATTTATATTTATAACACAGGTATTTTATAACCCATTCCGTTCGCCATTTTCTTGTTAATGTACGCCTCTTTCCTTTACTTGTATAGTATTCAGACATTAACATTTGTCAGAACGATATTTATAAATTCGTCTACTCTCTTGAGCAGAAATATGACGTAATGATATCATTGCTACTATATCGTATGATGATTTATTTAGTTCAAGAAAATGTGATCATGACAGTTTAACTTTATAGCTGCATATTAAATGTGTAAAGCTTCTATTAAAGACCTGTCTATCCAGTCATTGATTTCGTCTCTATAGAGATGTATTCTGTAAAGATAGATCTGACATCACTGTTTAAAAGGTTCCATTGGTTCAAACTACAGTTGCAAAGACAATTTTTCTATAAAAATTAGTCCTCCGAAGAGAGTCTTTTTTTAAAGAGACATTTAAGATGTTTCACACTTTTTTCAAAAAAGACGCTGAACGTCCCCTTCCCCCCCCCCCCAAACAAGAAAAAAATACATTATAGATATGGTGAAACGAAATTGCATTTGTAAGGTAGAAATATTTTTAGCAGAATATTTTACTTAAAATCGACCCGTCCGTGTTCACAGAGGTCACTGACAATGGTGTGAATGAGAAAAACTTACAAGCGACTGCCACGTTGAGAAGGCTGATGATTCGTACCGACGCTGGTTCCGCAACCTTCAACCTCTACTGCCCTTCCTCTTGACCCAGTTTTGGATGGTGTTTTTGAAGAGTATGGCCTTCCTCCTACCCTGCTTCCACTTTGCTGCCTTTGGCCTCCCTGCCCATGTTGATGTCTTCCGTCTTGCCTCTTTCCAAAGTGGCCAGCAATGTCTTTCGGACCGTTGTAATGGGTCTTTCCGGGTGAACTGCTCTTCGAAATCTTCCAGTTGTCCACCTTCTCCTTAGGTCGCACGCTTTTATCTTCATGAACCTTGGACACACTGCTGGCATTCGATTTTTTCGTGGGACCTGGTACACGATTGTTGTCACCACCCTGGTATGGACCTCTCGATTGGAGGTTGGTTTTATCGTTCAAAGCCTTCTCCGCCATTGTTCATGTCATGCAATATCACATTGCATCATTCGGAAGCATCTGTAAAGTGTCTGAAAATGGAAGGATTGAATTGGATTATAGTTCAAATGAAGAGAATGAAATGAATGGATCCGAAAGTAAGAATCATTTTTTTAATTCAGGTTTTGCATGAGATAAGAATTATTGCATTAGAGTTTAATAACAATTGCAGAGGAACAGCCAATATTTCACGAGTTATTGTCATTTAAGGGACGTATTCCTTTCTTGATGAAGGGAGTCCATTAACAAAATTATTGTTTGTTAAATCGATGCATCCATGTGGTCCATGAAAACTTATAAAATTAGTTTTTGAATATTTAGAGATAATTAAATGCTCTTCAAACAAATTGAGACCTTTTGGAGTTCATTATTGAAGCGCACACTTGCTCATCAAACCACATAAACGTTCGCATCCTACCAAGTTACCATTCTACCCTTGGGTGGAGAGTGACACATATAGATTAAAGTTTTGCCAAAGGACATCAGTACCTTGGCGTGTATCGAACCGTGAACCATTTGATCTACAGTCCGATGACGTATCCACTAGATTATGACACAACAAATTATTCCTTTTATTATTAATCTTATAATCATTATTTAAATCATTATTATTTGTATGATCATCATTGTATAGTTATCATTATTATTACTATTATTATCACTTATCCTTTTATCAAAAAATTCATTCACTAATTTGTTTTTTTTATTCGTCTGGCACTTTCATTACATGTCAAGTATGAACATGCAATGGAACTAACAAAATATGACTAGATATTTTCATAGACGATTGTGTACCGACCAGGGTGCCTGGGGAAACCAGGAACCGCATGCTTTCCTTCCGGCCATCTTGCTATAAATAACGAATAGTTTCATAACAATTTTTAATAGCACAAACAACTTTCAATGAGAATAAAATTCAGTACTGTGGCAGTTCTGAAAAAAAAACTTGCACGATATGCATGTATTGAAAAATGATGTAGCATCGAGCACCTTAGGGTGGGGTGGATCGGTGTAAAAAAAAATTAGCACATATTAATGCAGCGGAAAATTTAGTAAATTGATTAATTTATTGGCAGAAGAATTTAGTAAAGCTACTCCAACATGTCAATGAAATCCTATACAATCATCACAAGTAAGGCTACGTTTCATTAAAGCAGTTTGTTTAATGTTACAGTGTTTATTCACTCGATCCGACACACCACCAGTTATACTTATGTAGCATCACACTGAACACATAACCCTAACTGGGGTACCTACGATATAGTACACAAAAAAATAATAAAAGGAGAGTTGTTATGTAAAGGATATATAATTGGCTCCCTTTATCAAAAGAACTAAATCAAACACAACTAAAAGATATTTACAATATTTACAACAAAGATCACAATGCTTACATTATCTTATCAATCCTTCCATTACTCAGAATGGACTACTATACTGTATCCTCACAATAACTCTAACAATAACAAGTATTACAGAAACATATTTATGAGGGATGGTCTCATATTTAACAGCGAGTGATCGCCATGACGACCGGGCGAAAGCGATCCTGCCTGCATAGGTGAAAGGTGAAATATAAATATTTGTTGAGAAGATCTTGAGTACGTGTTCACTCCTCAAGATGCAGGAACAAAGAGAAAGTATATTTGGCCAAAATAGAGGAGATTGGTGAAGACCATACCGCTTCTTCCACTGGCAGGTAAAAGTTACGTTATCATCAACCATTTTTGGTAAGATTGCTAATAATAATAATAACTTGTATTTGGTACGCTCCCCATAGTACACTATATTACAGCGTTCACTCAAAATAATCATACATAACATACAACTAAATTTCATCGGAAAAGGTACATACACAATGTTTGAAATGGATTGGGAAGGGAAAACGGCTTAAATTAATTATTTAGGGAAGAGGTATGTTTTCAAGAATTTCTTAAATTGGTATGTGTAATTTGCTGCTTTAATCAAAGAGGGGATATTCCATTCTTTGGATGCAGTTATACTGAATGTTCAATCGCCTGCTTTGCTAAGGGTCCTATGAATGGTAAGCAGAAATGGGTCTCGAGAAGAGCGAAGATTAGTGCGAGATGGGTTATGAGTAAAGCAATCTGTAATATAATTATTTTGGCGTCTGGTTTGGAAGGCTTTAAAAACAAATAATAGTATTTTGAAGAGAATTATTTCTGGTATGGGAAGCCAGTGGAGGGATATAAGTAGCAGACTGAAGTCAGTCGTCGATCTAGCATTAGCATAATGCGAGCTGCCCAGTTCTGTAAACTTTGTAGCAACTTCAAGTATACTTGGAGAACAGATGTTAAACCGCAGTTCCAGTAGTCTTATAGGTATCTTCAGTTATGTAGTTCCTAATTTGTGATATGCTTTTTAGATGAAACCTAACAGACTAACATACATGATTTACTTGTTCTAATATAGACATATTACAATCAAAGCAAGCACCAGGGTTCCTGGCTGATTTAGAAGGTTCAATAGCTGTTGAACCTGTATTGAGAGTAACGTTTTCAAGGGAACGAAGGCTTTGAACAGAACCAATTACAAGAAATGCACTCTTGTCTTCACTCAGTTTCAGTATGTTATGGGTCATCCAGGTGTTGATGTCTACCACACAAGAGGAAAGTGCCTTCAGTGCTTTATCTAGGCTTCGAATGCAATTTGCCACGCGAGTGTAAGGTTATAGGTCAATCACACGAAGGATACCAAGCACGAATGGTCATAG